TCAAGTGACTAAACAGCAGATGTAAGATCTATGTAATGCTGAATTGTTCTATTATTTCTATTTATAAGCACTCCTCCACTGTTTAAAAGTAAACACAGAATATGTTGTCAAATAGACATAGTTTTAAAAAAGTGAATTGTCTTGGAATTTTGTCCTGAAATCTCAAATTCTCCATTTTTGGTAGTGTGAAATGATGGAAAAGAAGTCTACATGATAACTTCTGATCATTTATTAGGTTTTAAATTACTTCACAAGAGTATACAGGAGTCAGTATAAGGTTATGTACAGACGGTTCCATCTTTGCTTGTGCCAAAGGAACTTGGGAAGGGTTGGCAGCAAATTCTAAGGCCATTTTGAGAATAAACCATGCGAATCTGAGAGAAAATAACAATGATAATAATAATTTTAAAAAACAACATAGCCATTGGGTGGTCACTTGCTCAGACTAGGGGATGCCCAGACAGCTGGTGAAACACTATTCCTCTCTGTGGGAATGTTTAGCACTGGGATTGGTGGAGTGAGTAATAATGATGCAGGTAGGCATGCTTCAATCTATGGGATGCCTGGATAGAAGAGAAAAGTGGAGACGGGTGAATTTGCTCTCTTAGCTCGATCTGGGATACTCATTCTCATACCCTTGGGCATCAGCATTCCTAGCTCTTGGGTCTTTGGACTGGTGCACACCCTTGTTGGATCTTCCGGCTTTCAAGCCCTATGCTTGGCCTAGAACAAAACTGTCTGCTTTCTTGGGCTTGTTGCTTTCATATAGCTGATCATGGGGTTTGTCAGCTTTCCTAAAACTGTGAGCCAATCCCCCATATTAATTCTGTGTATGTCTATGTATGTATCTATCCATCCATGCAGTTATCATATTCTATTGGTTCTGTTTCTCTGAAGAATCCTGACTAATACAGGGGTCTTATTATTTCTTTGGTAGCCTGGCTTCTCATTTCTCATCTCCATTTTGGAAAAATCTCCATTGCTTATCTAGCCAGTGGGAGATGGTGCTTCTCGCCATTCGTTACAGAAGCTGAAGGAATTAAACCTTCATTCTACCTACCCGCTGGGAGCTATGAGGTCAAAGCTTGCCTAGTTGAATGTGCCCATCCACCTTTAACTCTAGAGTGGTAGAGAATTTAAGTTCACCCACATTAGCTGTTCCAGTGTCCAAGGGCAGAGACGTCCACAGCATGTTGCAGTATTATTTGGCCTGGACTGTTCCCGGTAAAAGAAGAATGTTGTGATTCTTGCCTCCCTCCCACTCCTGGGTTCCTGTGCCTCTAACCTGGTTCCAACCATTAATTAATTTTGGAATTCCTGATAGGCTTCAATTTTGTGTGTGTGTGTGTGTGTGAGTGTGTGTGTGTGTGTGTGTGTGTGTGTATGCGCATGCGCACATATAAAATTCACAGCTTTTAGAATCAGTTTCTATGGTAACATAACCTGTACTTCTGAAACTTTTAACTGGTTTAGAAAAGGTGCAGTGTGAGACACGAAGGGTTCTGTGCTCACTGTGGACAGCCACACTACGTCCGAAGGTTTCGTGTAGACGGACTTCAGTCATCTTTTTATCGACAGAGGCAAGTGAGGACCTGTCGCAAACTCAATCATTTCCTACAGAGAGACAGAAAAAGTCATGGGTGTCGACAGCAAATTTTAACACTGATAAATGAAAGCCTTTGTTTACCTTCCTCATCATTTTATCTTCACAAAGTGGCACAGTGTCTGGAAAACAGTAGATATTAATTCGGAATGTGTAGATAAAGAAAAGAATAAATGAAGGACAGGGAAATGAGGGAATGCTCAGATAAATTTGGTTAACCTGGTGAATCCCAGTGGGGAGGTAGGAATGAGGCTGTCGTGGGGGCATTTTACAGAAACTAAACTCTAGGAGCAACACTTTTTATTTTTAAATACACAACATTCAGCTTTATTGATCTCAGGATGAGCCGGGGAAAAAGTGCTGAGCAGGGCTGAGACACCTCCTGGAGCAGCCTTTTGGTCTATGGAAGGGGTCCCGGGCCAGCTCACTCATGGGGTACAGGTCAGGTGAGTTTTCTTGTGACTGAGGCAGCTAATACCAAGCCCCAGCCCTCACCACCCCCCAATGTCTTATATCTTATCTTAGACCAGGGGTCACCTGTACACGAGCTTTTGAACTCACAATCATTTTTACCCCTTATAAGTTGTCAAAATCAAACCAAGAATATAGAAGAGATGGTATGTGACCATCAAATCTAAAATATTTACTTTTGGGCCTTTTACAGAAAACATTTGCTGACTAGGAGCAACACTTTTTATGAATGCTTAGCACATTCCAGTGTGGGGTGTCCATCGCGGGGCATAAAATGTTAAGTGATAATGTTCCAGACTTGTGCAGAGACGGGGAATACAGTGGGCACATCAGGTGATAGGCGATCATGCCTGTAATCCTGCCTGGGGAAACCATCTCAATCTGCACATTTCTTTATACTAAAGGTGCTGGCTCTGAAGCTCCCTGTGACTACTGTGCCAGAGGCAGCTGCGCAGAGAAATCCAGTGCTCTGGAATGGAGCGAGACAATGCCACGGCTAGCAGAAAGGGAAAGAAGCCCTGCCTGCGAAACGAAGAACTGGCAGTAGACATCATGCAGAGCACATCTCGGGATGACGACTTCTTCAGCTGCCCGGCTGCTCTAGACTTTAATTAAGGTGCGTCTTCTGAGCAGTTGCAGCCAGGGAATCCCCTGATATTCATAATTGGTCTTCTGATATTTCAGTGCAGACTGCTCATGGGAGCAGGAGGACTAGATAATGGAGGGTTGAAATCAGAGAGCAGAGATAATTCCATTATCTGCATTTGGGTGGTGGTTTTCCCTGTATCTTAACTGGGAGGTATTGGAAGTTAAAATCAGAGCTTTCTCTCGATTGCTGTGGTACAGTCAACTTTTACCACAGCTTTTACCATGCATCAGGATTTGTTCTAAGATCTTTACATGCATTGCCTCATTAAATCCTTGCAGCAACTTGCCAAAGTAGGTATTGAATGGGAAGTATGGATCAGAGGAGAAAATATATTGTTTTGGAGGAGGGGAGGGTATGAGGACTTATGAGGAAAAGTGGAATGTGTGAAGTCCTTGGGTTCTTGTGACAAGGAAGAAAAAACAAGGGGGATAAATGCTGTAATATTTATATTCCAGGAATTGAAAAAAATGGGTTGCGCCAAAGAACAGTTATGCTAGCACGAGGTCAGGCGATTCAGTTGAGGCTCCCTTCCCTCGTGTTTCCAGGGCCACTGCCCCCGGGCTCCATCCCCGTGTATGTGACATTGCAATAAGGAGCAATCAAGTGATGAAAGCAGCAATAACAGAGAGAGCCACACATGGCTTGGTCACTTCGTCACTGGACAGATGTCCATGCATGTGAGTCAGGGCGTGGGGGTAGAGATAGAAAAGTCCAGGGCGCCCTGCACTTTGCTTCTTGCACCTGTGGCCTCCAGGAATTCTGTTCTGGTTTGGAAGAGAACCACGACAGAATCAGATTCTGCAGAAGCCTGAAAGCGTGACTCCAAACTGCTTTCCCGACTGGGCACAGATTGAAGTGTCTGAAGAAACGTGGTGAGGAGTGGATTCGGTTCACACCCCCAGGGGAGGCTCCCCCAGAGCTGCAAGGCAGAGAGATGGGGTGTGAGGGAGACGCAGCTCCCATTGCTCCGGCACCTGGACTGTGAAATCCCACAGGACCTTGGGGCATAGGAAACGAAAGTCAAAAGAATGTAAATATTATTCAAATAAAGAAAGTGCGAGGGCAGAAAGCAGCAGAATGCTGGAAGTGATTTTCTTCTCCTCCTTCTGTGAGGCAGTAAGGGAGAGGGAGCCACCATTTTCTAGCATGCACCGGCTATGGCTATTGATCTTTGGGGGTGAGAGGCCAGGCCATGAGGCAGTAACATATGATGCCACAACCGCAGAGGCTACTACGAAGGTCAAGTTCTTTCTCCTGCCACGTAGCCGTCACAGTTCAGCTGCAGCTCTGTTCCTTGATCCCTTCATCTGGGCTCCAGGCTGATGGAGAAGTAGAGGGGAAAAGGCCCCCGCTTTTAAAAGACGCTGCTCAGAAACAGTAACCATTTCTGCTCACATTTGATTGGCCGAAGAGAGTCACATGACGCAGTCTGACTAGAGCGTACCCGTTCCCACACAAGAGGGCCAAAATGTTCCTTCACAGGCTGGGGATCTAGCTCAGCGGTGCCGCTGCCTGCCTTACAGGTGCAAGGTCCTGAGTTCGATCCCCAGTACCAAAAAAAGAAAGAAAGAAAAAAAGTGCCTTCTCTACTGCATCTTTCCTACAAAACTAAAGGGGAATAATTATATAAAAGTCATCGTACAATGAAAGAAACGGATATAAATACTAAATAAGTATAAGATGCCCAGTTTGACACAAATACTAAATTGGTGACCCAAGATTTAAAGTCACATTTTACTCTAATTTTCTTCCATTTTCTTAAAACTGTGTCCTTCTGTCTTTCAGGTGGCTTCCACGAAAAGTGGAATGGAAATGTTTTCATAAATTATTACAAGAATAAAGGTTGCCCTCCTTCAGTAGGTTAAACTAGGAGGGTGTTAGCTCGCTGCATTCCATCCCCTGTTTTCCAGAGCCTTGAAAGTGTATGAAAATAGTCAATATTTTTTAACAGTTATTCTGTGTATGCCAGGCACTGCGCTTAATGTTTTATATGCCTAATCACACCAACTTTTCACACAAACGAAAAAAGAGAAATATGTTGCTACCCCAATCCTATAAATGTTGATATAGCATTTCAGAGAGGTTAAAGCTCGGTAAATACCACACAGCTAGTAAAACAGCCACAACATAAGCCTGTTTCCTTATCCCTAAATTTGCTGTCCTTCTATTTATATGTTCTGGAGGAGATCTTTTGCTTTGTCAGGGAGAAGATAGAGAAATACGGAAGAAATGCTGACGGTTTGGAGTATTGCTGTTATTTATTCCGTGGATTACCCTGTCACCGTGACAAGCGCTGATGGTCCCCCCATAAGAGTGTGTGCCATAGCAGTAGAGAACGCCTGGTAATCCAAACCTAATTAGAAAGGTACATTTCCTAGGAGAGGGGGGCGGCAATACAATGGAAAGCACTCCCAAGCCTAAGATAAACAAGTTTTAGTTTAAAAATAACTTTAATGCTCTGTGCTCCTGCTCCTTTCAATTAGCAAACATAATAAAATAGAACTGCACACTCAACGATATGTACTATGTAAAGAGTATAATTACATTGCAATAGATAACTTACATAAACCTACTGGAACTTATATAAATGTTCCTGGACATGGAGGCTGGCCTATTAATCTAATCATCACCTTCTGCTCAGGTGGCCGTGGCACTTCTGGAGATAAAGTCTTGCCACCTGCCATGTCCTCAAGTGGAAAATGGACAGTTACATCCACAGCATGTGAGTCCGATGCCCTACTGATGTTGGTTAAGAGTGAGTGCTAGCTACGTCCTTTGATGGGGTGTGGCTTGGATGGGTCCAAGGTAGACACCTCCTCACGGTGTTTCTCCTCCAACCCTTCTGACCTGCAAGCCAGAAATCTGATGATTGTCCTGGAAATCCCAGACTGTCCTGCTGGCCCTTCTGTCCAATGATCGTCTTGTCCTTAACTGGGCTCACCCCATCTCCTCCTTCAGGGATAACTTCTGTGCGGGGCTTCCCTCCTGTGGTGCTGCCTATTTCTCGAGTCAGGTACTTCTCATCATCTTATGCTGGTGGCCGTTCTGTACAAATTAGGACCACTGGATTTGGTTTCCAGTGATCAACTGTGATCCAAAATATTACATGGAATTTCTGGGGATTTAGCTCAGTGGTATTGCTTGCAAGCACAAGGTCCTGAGTTCAATACCCAATACAAAAAAAAAAAAAAAACCCAAAATTTTACATGGAAAATTCCAGAAACACACACACACACACACACACACACACACACACGCACACATGCACACGCACACACAGAGCTAGAGAGAGAGAGAGAGAGAGAGCAAGAGGGAGAGAAAGGGAGAGAACATTTATGTAACCTTTATGTAGAATATTACTATAATAGTTCCATTTTACTATTATTATTGTTAATCTGTGACTGTGCTTATTTTATAAATTAAACTTGATAACAGGTATGTATGCATAAGAAAAAGCAAAGTTTCTATAGAGTTTGAAACAGTTCCCCGTTTCATGCATCCATGGATACAGGGAGACTACTATACTGTACACAGGATTCTCAGAAGCACCCCAGCCTCTATAACTCAACGCCAGTGGTACCTCTCCTTCACTTTGCCACACATCGTGGGCAGGTGGGCCAACCGTCCTGGTTGAAACTCCCTGTTTGGTACCATTGTCCCGTGTAGTGAGTCTGTTTCCTTGCCCCACTGTGGTCAGAAGGCTCCATGTGAGAAAGGAGCCTGCAGCCTCACACACAGCACCTCCTCAGAAGGAGAAGTGGCACCTCCGCAAGTGACTGAGTGACGAACAGAGAGAAACACTTAGAAATTCCTCCTGGCTTGGAAAACGAGGATGACTGTGCTTCCCTGAGTGACCTAGAAAATTTCCTTTATACCCTTGTGAAATGCAATTCTCCCCACACACATCGCTGCACCCTGATACTTGAAATCACGCATTGGGAGTGACGACTCCTGGGCTTTGCAGAAGAAAGCCATGAATCTGGGGTTTTTTTTTTCCCCTCCTAAAATTTGGCTTAAATGCAAGGCACTGGAACCAGAGCAGTCATAGCCCACAGATTCCTTTTCCGCCTGTTTCACTGCATATGGCTTTTGAAAAAGCAAAAGCAAAAGCAAAAAAAAAAAAAAAAAAAAAAAAAAAAAAAAAAAAAAAAAAAATCAGAGAAATGACCTGAAGCTTTTCTAAAGTCCTCAGGAATGACACCTGGGGGGAAGCATCTGAAAGACTTCACATTCATTAACTAAACCTCCTTGTTAGGTTATGTTCCCTGAAATGCATTTGACAGTAAATGAAGTAGAAAAGATGGCAGCTGGAGAAAAAATAAAATTCTGTCAGATTCTGGCAAGAGAACAGGGAGGCAAAAAAAGCAGGAACCTGGGGAGGCATCGATAGATCAGCACCCCACACTGTGAGTATTTTATGGCTGGGCTTATTGCCTCGGATCAGAGCCTGCTGCAAAGCTAAATTCATGCGTTGCACTCTGTTCAGATCCTAAGACCATGCATAACTCAGGCAACCCAGATAAGGTGCTTGTCAGGGCAAAAGCAGCAGGGATACAGGGCTGACTGGCAGCTATGTGAAATAGTGATCAGAGAAGAGAAAGAAAAAGGAAAGACATGTTCAAAAATATTTGGACTGTTTTAGACACCTTCCCCCATGTCGGTTGGATTACAATGTTGCCCAAACCTTGCTTGAATACTCAGAAGGTGAAACCAGTTTGCAGGCAGTGGAGTGAGGCTTTCTCTGAAAACATTCTGTTTGAAATGACCTTAGGGGATACTCTGCATTTCCTGATCCTTTGCTCCCCACTGGGCCCTCTTTTGGGGCTCAGAAAAGGGAGAGAGGTAGGAAAAGGGGCAGCGAGCTGGTGTGCATCCCCGCAGTTGCCGAGTGTGTTATTTGGTTAATTCGGCCCAGGCCAGCCTTCCTGAAGTCGGGCAAACCTGTTTTCTTTCCCTGTGATGTATCACTTAGAAACACCAACTGCAAGGATTTCTTATGTTCTCACAAAAAAGGGAAGGAAACAGCTGGTAAATGTTTCACAGATGGTAAAGCTCTTGGCATCTCTCTCAAGAGAGGGCCACCCATGCAGATGGCTCATTATTTTAACATTTGGATTTTCATCTTATTAAAACATCTTTTTTCCCCTGGTTTTATTTAGCATCATAAATTCTCCTACACTTTAGCAAGCAGCTGAGAGATTTGAAGATGTGCACGCCGAGGAGCATCCTTTGGCTGGAACATAGATGGGCAACATCCTTATTCCCAGCTCTGATCTCAACATGATGGGTTTCAGTCTGATTAAAAATTCCAATAAAAGGGAAAGCTCGGAGTAGTGAATTTATCAAGCAAAAGTCCATGAAGTCCATATAGTGACTGAATTATTCAGCAGAACGATAAACCGAGTGAAATTGGGGGAAATAGTTTTATTTGATGCATAAAATCCCTATTACTATGCAATATGCATATATAAAAATAGACAAATGCACAGAGGGTGTAGATCCATAAACACACCCTTTCTACATATGGAGAGAGACTTCTGTACCATGAAACATAACGGCCAAAATTTAAACCAAGCCATGCCAACTCTTGGCCGACTAGATAGGAAAGGGCCAAGATTTTAGAGGCCAGTTTCCCACCCACTCAGACATCAGCAGGACCAAACTTGCCTCTTCTATCTGAGTCGTGGTTTCTAGGTGCAGGAACGGTCAGGCTGTCGTGTGGCCAGTTGGGAAGAAACAAGGAGCTCACTGCTCTAACTTAGTTGGAGGAGCAGGCCATAGTCCTCTCCCTTCCAAATACTTCTCCAGAGGACTGGGAAAAGTTGTGGTCACTTCAGCATCCCTAACTATTGTGCTGGGGTGTGGGAACTGTTGGAGATGCAGATGCAAGTGACAAAGCAATGTAATAAGAACAAAGCAATCTATTTAATGTGGTGAGCGAGGCTGGCCTAAATACAGGCTCAGTATTTGTGCTCTCCTAAATGGGCCTCATGGAGCAAGGCCTGTGCGTGCCGCATTGTAAATGTTTATTAGCAATGGTACACAATGCACGTTATGAATCCGTGGAGCCCAGAGCTGGCTCACTTTGGGGGTCAAATGGAAATCCCTGAAATGCTGAGAAAATGTTAATAGTTGCCAGCACCAAGAACGGAGCAGTAGAGAATGTACATAGGTATCATCAATAGAGGCTCTGTTCATCGACTGGAATCACCTCCGGTACCTGGTACCTCTAGCCTAAAGCATTAGCTTGTGGGATGCACTCTGTGAGCTCCTGGCTTCTCTGTCCTATGGGAGCAGGATGGGAGGTGCTGAAAGTCTAGTCTCTCAAGCAGGAAGTGGAAAGGGCAGGGCTGATTTGGCAGGTCCAGGGAGTTAAGGAGGAGCTGTGGAGAAATGAGAGAAAAGTTTTTATTTTGCCTAATTTCTTACTAAGCAGATTGCTTCTGGGGGTCCTCTCGTGCTTGATGCTTTGTGGTTTCTGTAGCATAAATTAGAATGGCAGGAGCACAGGGCCGGAGAGTGCTCAGGCGGAGCCTCCCCGGGTGACCCTTTTCGCTCTCTGATCACCTAAGTCACCTGGGTCAAGAGTGGTCCCCAGGCAATAGCTTCTGCATCCCCTGGGCTCTAGCCAGGCCTCCGGACCCAGAGCTGGGCAGGAGGGGCCCAGCGTTACCGTCTTCATTTTAACAAGCCCTCCAGGTGATTCTGATACACGCTGGAGTTTGAGAGTCGCTGCTCTAAGGCATAATAGTTTGTCACTCCACTGGTGCCCAGGAATCTTTTTGGTGACAGACATCAAGTATGATTCCTGCAAAATCCTTGGCAGCAGAATACATTTGTTTATTTAACTGCATGCAAAATGCTTGTCAAGACGGATTCCAGGGGCTGTCTTTGCAAAAGCTTCCTCTCTCTTGCATTTACTGAATCCTTACCTTGGGAGACTGCACACATCTTCCATCCAAGCTCTCAAACTACAGAGCATTTTAAAAGCACCCCACCCTCGCCCCTTTCACCTAAAATTGGCAAATAAAGGCAGAGGAACACTGCGCCTAGTTTTCTGCATCAAGCAAGCAGGAAAGACTGACAGATTTCATTACATTTGTCACAAGGTCTAAAACTCCACGTGGGAGAAAATAATCCCACTTAGTGAAAACATCTCACTGTACCTTTGAGTCAGAATGGAGCAGTACAAAACGTATTGTTCCTAAGAAAATTGCAAGGCATTTGGTTGTGTTTTCAAAAGTGTGATGACTATTCACCAGACTCTGGTTTAGGTGGCTTGAAAACTCCCCCCAAAACTGTACGGGTACTAGAAATACATGTGCCCTCCATGAAATGGCATAAGAATCAAAGGAGAAATGAATTTCCCATGGTGCGGATGAGCTACTTAAAATCGTTCCCGTCTGAGCACGCCTCCTTTTCCTTGTGCACAGTGAAAACCATTTGAATAATGCACGTTATTCAGTTGCATTGTGTGCTCTGAAAGCCATTTAATGAAGGTAGACAGGCTTCCAGGAAGGTGCACTTTTTGACTAATGTAGGTACTCCTGGAAAAATCTTTCCTCCACATGGAAAGCAAGGTTTACTGAGTAGGTAGAAGAAGGAATGCTATTACAATGTCTAGTTTCACTCAATCACATTGAATGGAAGCAACCTTGGGTTAGATTTGATCTCTTCTAGGTGAACCTTAGCCTCTGCAGTTTTATATATGGAAAAGCTGGAAATCAATCACATTTTAATAAATCAAACCATCTTTTCATTGACTTCCATTATATTATTGAAGTTGCTCTGTCTCTTTCTAATTGATCATCAATTAGCAGCAGCTTCCAACTCCAACCTTTCTGTTAAATAGTCAGTGGCCTCTAAGCTTATGCTTAACCAATGAGCAGCACACCTAGCTAGAGCAAAAAAAAAAAAATTATGAATATTTAGGAAATTCCCAGACACTCATTTGTACGTGAAAATATGTCTTCATAAGCTAAGTGTGTCTAATCAGAGAGGCTCTCCATACACAATTCACTTGGTTAAGCAAAGGCAATTGGCAAGGGATATTTTAAATTTCATCATTCTTGGTAATTTGAATGATGTGGGCTTTAGGGTCACAGTGAGTGGTGTGAGCTTGGGAGTCACAGTTGGGCAGAACCCCACTCCGCTACCTCTCAGAAGTGGACTGGTCCTCCCTGACCCTCAGTTTCCTTTTCAGAAACTAGAAGTGAGAAATTTGTTCTACCCCACAGGGCTGTGGTGAAGAGTCATCTACTGCCCAAACTGCTGGCAGAATGCTGAGCACACAGTGAAGGCCCAAATGCATGTCAGCTGGTGCTGTTATTATTATTATTACGAAAAGAGGAACACGTGTTTTGCCTGTGCCCAACAGAGCATGCCACTAAATGCTCCTTTGGAAAGCCATTGGACAATTTAAACCATTGTGGAATTTCTAAGCAAATGTCACTGTTGATTCTATGTCCAAAGAGAGACTGGGCAGGGTGGGAACTGGTTTCACCTAAGCAGAGAAACTCAAAGTTATTATAATGTACAAAGGGAATCCTCCTTTCAAACCCAACTCGTAGGTATCTGAAATTATTATGAAAGGATAGCAATCATGGACTTAAGAACAGCTACTGACACTTTGCAGCACGTACTAGGTGTTGAGCATCGGAGTAAATGCATGTGTTAATTTCTTTAAATGTCACAATAATTCGGCAAGGGAGACAGTATTGCTAGCACCATTTTACAAAAATAGAAATCAAGGAACAGATGATTTGGAGAGGTAAGGAAGTGATAGGGCCAGGGCGTGAGCCTCAACATAAGCAAGACAAATTCTCTCCACAAAGAAGACACTGCAGAAGTCATCGCGCCCTCTATGCTGCACACGGGGAATTTGAGGCTGGTGTTTAGAGCATGCTTATGTTGGTAGTAACTGCTCAGTGTGTAAGCATCCAGCAAACAACAGACACACAGGTAGAAAATGACTTACCAGGTGAGTTACCGGCACGCCCAGGAAGGGAAGCTGAGCGTTTGCTGCTCATTCCAACTTTTAGTCTCTGGTGACCAGCAAGCGTGGGCCAGAGGCCTCCCAAGAAAATCTATTCCCAATAATAATCTTTATGGTCTTCATAAACTTCGGGTATGTATCATTTGCTACCTGACCGGGTGTTGGTCGATCTCTCTGTATGAATGCTCTCCAAAGGGCGCGTGCGTTTCAGTTTCCCCCAAGTACGTATAATCTCATTTCTTTTCTCCCCGAGTCCTGTTTATCACTGTTGTCTTGGGTCATGGGAAACTCAGCCTTCTGTGTGTGTCCTTGCCTTTCTGAACTCATCCACATAGCTGTGAGTAGGCCTCCGAGCTCAAGGAATGCTTCTTGATGGATGGCCCTTTACGAAAGGCACTTGGGTCAAAGAGATAAAGCAGATAACAGGTTCTGAACCAGGTGGGAAAACTCAGGTTGCCCACAATGCAAGCCCCTCCCCTGACAGACAACAACAACCAACGAAAGCAGTAAGTTCCCAGGGCTGCAGGATGGGCTGGCTACAGGCTTAGGCTTTTGCTGCTCTGTTCTCAGTTCTGTCTCCTCTCCGTCTCCTCCACTCTTAGCTAAGCGATCCCTCCCAGAGGTGCAGCGTGTATCAGCGGGGCCCAGAGCTTCACGCTTGTGTGCGCCAATCCAGTCGGGGTGACAAGTGTACCTAAGAGAAATTACCCCCCCCCACAAATCCCAGGTTTGAATCGTGTTGGCTTTAATTAGTCTGATGTGTGCCATGGCTTCCACTGACCCAATCCTTGTGGAGAGGAAGGCAGAACAGGCACTGTTGGGTCAACATTTAAATCAAGGTCCAAGGGATTTATTTACTAAAGGGCCAGACAGTAAATGTTTTGGGCCTTGTGGATCCTACCATCCCTGTGACAACCACTAAGGTAGCCGTGGGGTCCCGAAAGCAGCCAGATGAATGAAGCCATCTCTTCATTCAGAGATGAAGTCCAGACTCAGCCTGCAGGCACAGTCGGCCAATCCTGGCTTAGACAAACAAGGCCTCCTCCTAGGGCTGATCCCTTCCATTCGTGGACAACTCTCTGCCAATGTTACGGCTGACGTTACCCTAGTACACCGTGGGTCCCAGATGACTTCATCTCTTTCTAGAAGACACTCAAAGAGGCACAAGCCAGCAATTAAAAAAAAGTCCAATATTTTCTCAGGTCTTTCAAATATCATG